ATATGATGTGATAAGAGCCTTGGCAGTTTATAACTGCTGTCTCTGTCTGAGGGCTTGTTAGAACTTGTGGGTTATGAGTGCTCCAGAGAAGTGGCTCTGCAGCTGAACCACTTCTGCTATTATAGACGGTGACGTGTAATGAGCACCTTTATGACATTTTTCTTGACATTTTATGACACACAATATGTCAGAAAATTGTGTAATTTGTGTATTTTGAGAGAATCGTAAATTATCTGACATTATGAGGAGATGATACCTTTCTTTTTGTTTGCTTAGTGGGGGGAATGTGGGAAAGACTATCCAGGGCCCTAACAGTAGGAGGGGCCACGGCAAGCTTGAAATGCAAAACATTTGTTTTCATTTTTCATTTTTTTTCTACACAGTTAGTATGTGACTTAAATTGCTATAAATTGCCTCCCTACAAATGGCAGAAAATGTGTTTAGTCCACTCTACACCTGGTCTCTCCTTTAAAGTACAGCTAATTTACTCTATCAAGGTGACTGTTGACATGCACCCTATGCTATGTCATCTCAAGGAAACAGTTTCAGACTATAAAACTAACAAGAAGACGAAAGAAATGAGATTTCTTTCAAAACAAGAGTGACCATGTTGACTAGTGTAACTGGGAGCAGTTATTAAAGATAGGGAGCCAATGTAGATGTGCCACTACCAAAATAACCCAGCACAACACCACGATCAAACGACTTTCATTTTATAAACAGCCAGTGAAGCAGCAGCAGATCCCTCTCCAAACAATGTGACATAAGGTGAGCTCATATAGTCGCAACTTAACGTTATTCCAAGCAGTCGTTTGTACATTTAGATTTTCAGCAGTAAGCTTAGCAAGACTTCCACAAAGTAGCTTTAAATGTTATTTTAATAGTTCTCAGCCGCTGTGCCATGAGGTAAGCAGAGGATTTTGAGGAAGCCAGTGCATTTCAGGGTGATGAAATGGCATTTTAAAATACCTCAATGACACTGCTTTTTAATATATTAAAAAAAAGATAGGTAGCGTCCAGAGGGCATCCCTGTCAGATGCCTGAACCATCTCAACTGGCTCCTTTTGATGTGGAGGACCAGCGGCTCTACTCTGAGCCCCTCCCGGACGGCCAAACTCCTCACACTATCATTAAGGGAGGGGTCAGCCTCCCTTCTAAGAAAGCTCATTTCTGTCGCTTGTATCCTCGATCTCGTTCTTTCAGTCACTACCCACAGCTCGTGACCATAGGTGAGGGTAAGGATGTAGATCGACCGGTAAACTGAGAGGTTTGCTTATACACTCAGGTCTCTCTTCACCACGACGGCCCGGTAGAGCATCTGCATCACTGCAGCACCAGTCTGTCAATCGCTCACTCCCCTCTCCCCTCACTCGTGCACAAGACCCCAAGATGCTTAAATTCCTCTTGGGGCAGGAACTGACCCGGAGTGGACACTCCACCCTTTCCGGCTGAGGATTTGGAGGTGCTGATTCTCTTTCCCAACGCTTCACACTGGCCTGTGAACTGCTCCAGTCGGAGCTGGAGGCCGAATCCAACAGAACCACATCATCTGCAAAAAGCAGATGTGAGATTCTGAGACCACCCAAGTGGACCCCTCCCGCCACTTGGCTGCACCTAGAAATTCTGTCCATAAAAACTATGAACAGAATCCGTGACAAAGGGCAGCCCTGGAAGAGTCCATGACTCACCAGCAGTGTTGGGAAAGTTACTCTGAAAAAGTAATTAGTTATAGTTACTAGTTACTTCTTCAAAAAAGTAACTGAGTTAGTAACTGTCATGGTCCTGGGTCGTTTGACCCAGCATTTTGTGTTTCATTTTGTGTTTCATCTTATGTTTTGTGTTAATTCTTATTTTGTATTAGTTCTTAGGGTTTGGTTCTTGTGTTTAGTGTTCTCCCTCCTGTGCTCTGTTCGTGTCCCTGAGTTAGTGTTGTAGAACAGTTTGTGCATTTCCTGTTTTACTTTGAAGGTCTGTGTCTCGTCGTGTCTAATTAGGTTCAGCTGTGTTCCCCTCTGGTGTGTCATTCCCTCATTACCTTGTGTGTATTTATAGTGTGTGCCTGCCTGTGTTCCTTGTCGGTTGTTGCTTGTCTGTGTTATTCAGCGTTTCTCCGCGTCTCTGCCCTGCTTTCTCCGTGTGATCTCTGTGTATCATCCCGTGTCCTTATGCTTTCAGGTTTGTTTATTAGTTAGTAGCTTTAGTAGCTCCCTGTTCCTTATTTCCTGTTTTGTACTTCGCCCTCACTGTAAATAAACACCCACTGGCACCCCAGCCTTGACAGTAACTGAGTTACAAGTAACTAATTACTAGGAAAAGTAACTATTGTGTTACTTTGAAAAAAAAATTTATCCCTCTGGGCTCCAGGGTATAGTTGGCTGTTTCTGACTACTTTTGTTTTTACTTCTACATTTCACCTTTAAAAATATTTACCTTCCCTCGTTTGGTATCATTCTTTTCAGCAAAACCTCACATGTCTGAATTTACAGTTATTTTATCATTTTGACATACTGTATTAACACAATTGATCCAAAATCAGACACAAAAATCTTTAAATCCAAGTAGAAAAAAGTTGTAATTTTTACTATAATAACTACAAAAATGTTTAACGAATCATTAACTTGAAATGCAAATATAAATTGTACATTTTCAAAACCTATGCACAAGTTTTGCAAACAACACAGTTATATGCAGCTACTTACCTAATAATGCAGCCAAGGCATTTTTTTTAACTATTTCAAACTATTTACATTACAATCAGGCATTCTGCATCAAATAAGATGCCACACAAATTATTTGTGCCACTCCAACAACTAATTGCTGTCCACTGTAAAATAAAGGAGAACATCACAAGCCTGATACCTGCAGGCATGAAAGCAGGAAGTGTATCACTCCTGTTTTCCACCTACAGACAGCGTCTGGCTTTGGTGGCTTTTTGGCAGCACCCGTGACATTCAGCAGACACACAAAACACAACTATCCACTACACTACACACTAAATATACAACACAATACACTAACAACACACTGCAAACACGCTAAACGTCACAAATCTCTCAATTCTCAAAACTCGCTCTCTCTCTCTCACCGCCGTCACTCCTGAAACTTCCTTCCTCCTCCTTCCTCCTAAACAACCAAATGCCATGTTGCCATTTCATTTTTTTAATGGTCAACATGGTACATTTCTCCACCAATAGGAACAAGTGGAGATGTATTCAGGAAAAAACATTGCGTATATTTTTTTATCATAACTCTGGTTTTATGTGGCCTATCAGCACAATTTAAAAACTGGTATAAAGTTTGAAGTCCACACTTTTAACACAAAAATGGAGAATCAGGGTTTCCTTGGGTTGACATAGCATCTTGTTGGTATGTCATCTGATTGGTTTACCATGACTACTTTATTCTTCCTCAGCCAATCAGCAGCACTTGTGTGATTGTTTCGCCCCGCTAGGTCCCGGTAAGATAAAGCAGACAGTTTCAACCGTCTGTGTGTTGAAAAAGTAACACATCCGCAACGCATTTTCTTCTTAGTAACTGTAACGGCGTTGTAACAATAGAAATAGTAATCCATTAGAGTTACTTAAAAAAGTAACGCCATTACTAACAGTGCTATTCCCATCCCGGCTCACCGGAAACAAGTCCGACTCTTGCTTTTATCACTTAAGGAATATTCACAAACTCCCATTGTGTCGTACTGAGAACTGGAAATTGTTGTTCATACATTTATTTCATCACGTCTGGATTGCAGTCTTTGTTTATTTGTCTTAAGCAAAACTTCCTGGGAATCAGGTTGTTCAGAATGCTGCTATGACGTCGTCTAAGTTTTCCAATTACTCACAGCATGCAGTGACTCAGTTACACAGACAGCCTTTTAAGATTCTGCCTTCTGCTCTCCATGGACAAGAACCAGCATTGGGGAACATCTGTACATCCCGAGCAGGTCTCTCTTCCTTTGAGCTTAAGATCTGGGAAATTAGTGGTCTCTTTTGCTTAACATTTGGTTTTATCTTCTGGCATTTGAAAGGTTGAAAGCATATGGCCAATAAAATTTTACTTACTTACTTTTAACTTATCTTTTTGGATATCACAATCAGGTTGAAAACAGAAACAGGCTGTAAGAAGTCTGATATCAGTCCTCGCGTTACTAAAGGTCTGCCTGTGTACCAAATAGTGAGCAAGAAGACGATAGTAAGTAAAAAGAGAGAGAAAATTGTCCTGAGGGTAATGGGGATAATGAAGCGAGGACAGATCATATTAGAAGTGCTACAAAAATAAAATTGTATTTTTAAGGTTTGTATTTTTAACATTGCATAAATCAT